TTGAGAAATTGAGGCCCAGATTGATAAAGTTACCATCCATAGGCACATAAGTCTAAAGTAGGAGGAAATCAATTCTGAACTTCATCAGTGCTCTCTCTGTTGGGCTATTTCACTTTTATCATTTCTGCCCCTCTTCCCTTTTTTGTAATTTATATTACATTAACCTTACCAAATAGGTTTAAAAATCACTAATTTCATAAACCATATTTAAACATACAATCGTTAGTATTGTTAAAAGTAATCAAAATGAAAAGAAAGTAAAACACAGTGTTTATTGGACCAGTTATTCTATATGTATATAGGGAGACTATTCTGATTCTTCTTAAAAAAAAAAAAAAAAAGGCTCAATGTAGGCTAGTTACAATGAAACTTTTAAAGAGAAGAGGAAAAAGTGGGATAGAAAATCAACCATTGGCTAATCTTAATGTGATTATTTAAACCATGCCTCCCTTCCCTGCCCCCTGCTTTTCTATCTGTGACATCAGGATACTAAGTGGTCCCTGGTCTTCTTTGAAGGAGGGGCACATTTATTTGCACAAATCTTTAGGAGTAGTTTTTTTTTTTTTTCATTAATTAATGCATGTTTCCTTGGTGAGAAAGTACTTAAAGGTTATTGATTTAGTAGTAAAAAGTAACTTAGGAAAGTTTGGCCTTTTACCTATTTGTAGTTAGACCTCTTGAAATTAAAATTATGAGAGCACACAATCTTTTTCATTAAATCAAGAAGTAATGAGTTTGTTATTGATTACCTTTTTTTTTTATATCCAGAAAAGGCAAATTAACTATGCTTACAGAATAGACAGTTCATTCCTAAGTGTGTCTTAAAGAATTTGTAAGTCATTTGGAACATATGTATATGGTTTTTATTTAGCCTTACTTTAGTGCAAGAAAGGGGCTCTTGTGGCATAGTGTTTAAAGCATTTGGCTGCCAACCAAAAGGTTGGCAGTTCGAAACCCCCAGCCACTCCACAGGAGACAGATCAGGCAGTCTGCTTCCATAAACATTACAGGCTTGAAAACCCTATGGGGCAGTTCTACTCTGTCCTATAGGGTTGCTTTTGAGTCAGAATCTACCTGATGGCAGTGGGTTTAGTTTTGGTTTAGTACAAAAAAGGCTCTAAACCTTTTCAGTAATAAAGCTGCATCTGCAGCAAGTGAAGGTGATTATGATGAGGAGTTTGTTGCAAATAGGGGTTGGTTTAATCCTTTCATGGTGAGGGCAAATAAACATAAAATGAAACAAATTTGGAGCCAAACGGTGCTGCTCCACTCAAAGATGGCAGTGCTTCATTAAGGATGACTGTCAACTGCACCTCTTTGAATGGGCGTCGCTCTCCACGGTCCTGCCAATCATCCAATCTCACATATCAGGTTCCTAAAAGGCCTCTTCTTACTCTCCTGTTTTCCAAGGCTTCAATTCGTAATTTTTCTCATTTGAAAAACACAATGCAACCACTGCCGTAGAGTCGCATCCAAATCATAGCGACCCCTCCTTGGGTTTCCGAGGCAGTATCTCTACAGAAGTAGATTGCCCCATCTTCCTACCAGGAAGTGGCTGGTGG